GATTTAACTTTTACATTTACATATTTAGATTTTAATATTTACAAATTGCATTTTACTTTAAAATCTAACATTTAGTAAAAATTAGCAAAATATCAGAACTATTTTTTAACCTTCAGAAAATGAGCTAAATAATGAAAATGTGTTAGTGACATCTTTAAGATTTTATTACACTTGTCATCAAACAAGTTCATTTTTTAAAGTCTGCATGTTTTCTGCAGAAGATATGACTGCGAACATATGAATCTGAGCTCAGATAYGGTGGAAGTCAGTGAGAGTTTGGGTGAGAGAACTACGACCAGTTTTAAACCAWCCATAAAGGATCTTTTCTCTTTGATTAAACGCAGCCTTTAGATTCAGAACAATCTGAGTATTTTCATAAATTCTGCAGCGTTTCTGGAGAAGCAGCAGCAGCTGAAGYTCTGACCTGTGCACGGAGCTCCCTGACTGTCTCCTCCTGCTTGGTCCAGTTCTGGCAGCCGATCCTGGCACCCCAGTCTGCGATCCGGGCCTCCAGCTGGTGGTTGGCCTCCTGCAGCCGGCTCACCTGCTCCATGAAGCTCTTCAGCCGGATGTTCAGGCTCCACAGAGCGTGTCCGGGRTCCTGCGGGTGGTCCATGGAGACCTGGGAGAGCGCAGATCTGAATGTTGACAGACTCAGTCCGGATTGGAACAGGGAGACATGACACGACTGGGAGAGCTGCAGCCAGGTGAGGTTACAGCTTTCTCAGCAAACAGTCTGCCAGCCTCTTCAAACCACATGCTGACACAGGTGTTTACAAGGTAAATGTTTACACAGAAACTCACCTGACGTCTGTTCTCCTGGTCACACTGAGCCAGTCGGCCACTCCTCGCAGCTCAGACACATTCCTGGTCCTCGGCTTCCCTCTGTGTCCCGGGTCAGCGGCTCCAGGACCCTGAGACAGAGCAGTTAGGATCAGCCGAGACAGGGATGGTCCTCACCCGCCCCYGAGACAGCATGTGGGAGAGGGGTGAACGCTGGACACAGTGCTTACATCACCCCCAGGACCCTTTGTCCTCCCTGATCCAGGATTACTGAGCCGCTTTCAAACAGGCAGCAGCACGAGTGTTGAGGGGAATGTTCAGGGACGTACGGGGACTGGACCCGACCTGTGGTGCTGTATGTTGTATAAATAATGTAAAACCTGTCCCACATGGAGTGAACTCTGTCCTGACTCATCTCTTACCCAGTCTCAGCTGGTTTGGAAGAAGAAAGTTTCAGTCTGGGTCTGGGTCAAAGATTCTGAAACAGAACATGGTTTCAACATTAAGCTCTATGCTAGATTTGTTTTTGTTGCAGGGTTAGGGTTCAGTTTCATATGAAMTGCTGCAGATTGGGATTCTGTTGTTGGTGCTGGCGTCCATTTTGAGGGACTATCTGGTAGAAACAAAGCAAGAACCGAATTTGCGTCCTCGGCAGGAAGTTGAGATGGTTTTTGGTGCTGGTTGGACTTCCCCAAGGTAGGTCTTGTCTCTGGTCCTGTTTGAGGCATTTGTGGACAGGATTTCAGGGTGTAGCTGGGGAGAGGCCAGACTGAGATGGTTTGGACATGTCCAGAGGAGGGACAGTGGGTGTATTGGTAGTAGGATGGTACACACTAAGTGGACATGGAGGTTGATGGAGGACAAGTCCCGATTTGGTCTGTATTTAATTGTTTGCTGAATAATCTTGGATAATTCAAGCGAACGTAATCAAAGACAATTGGACAACAGGATAGCAGGACAGCTGGAGTATGAGTCATGTTTCGTTCAGCGAGCACTGACTGTTTTCGGTCCTATGTCACTTTAACTTTGTGAGTGACACAGGTTTGGCGAGACCTGATTCAGTTTCAGTACCTGGACCGGGACCAGTGAACTTGATCTGACGACTGAAGTATTTCTAATAATCTGCTCTGAAAGATTTTGAACRTGTGGCCTCCTTTGTTTTCAGATTTTTTTGTTTTGTTCAGTGACTAAAAACAACTAACCTGATCTATCTTTACTTAGTTTTTATCCTGTTCAGCTTCATGAGCTTAAAATATTAACTTTGTTTAGCTTCTAGAATCCAACAAGTCTTTACCTTTGGTTGCTGGTGTTTAATGTTGTTTATTGAGGGCTTTTACAGCAGATTTGGTTTAAAAATAAACTATTATGGATCCTAACTTTAAATAAAGATGACTGACCAGCACTAATTTAGATTTATTTGGTAGTTATCTGCTTATATCTTTAAAAAATAGATCCTGCGTTAGTTGTGGAGTTCTTCAGGGTTCAGTGCTCGAGTACATACTTTCTTTATAGTTCCTAGTGGTGGGCAGTGCTTACCAAAACTGCTAACCACTAATAAATTAAACAAGAATCTTAGCTCTGCTAACACTAAACTGCTCAACAGATTACAAAATTWGTGGAAGCTAAAGCTAACTGCTAAAACAACTGATACAAACCTGTTGTAAGTTTTCTATTGGTTTAATCTAAACCAGAGTTACAGCACTGTCTAACTTCCAGTTTAACGTTTTCAGAATAAAAGCATTAGTTTATAAATAAATAGCAACAAATAGCAAATACTTTCTCTACCATGTTCTATAAGTAGTCAGTTTTTGTATTCGTATTGTCAAATGCTATTTTATTTATTCTTGATGCTCTTATTTTGAAGTTTAGCTGCTAAAAACGCTACATGCTAACACACGGTGCCTGACACGAACAGCAGTGCTTGTAAGAGGAGATAGATTTTATTTAATTTGGGATAAACTCTTGTAAGTTTTGTAAATAAGTGGACTTAAATAGGTCCACTAACGGTTTCTGAAGTTAGCAAAAAAGCTAACCCGCAATATGAAAAGCTAGTTCCGTTATTAGTGGATTAAGGGAACTGTTCCCACCACTGATACGTCCATGACGTAACATCTTCACAGAGCGTACGGCTCCTTTGCTATGCAGATGACATTCAAAGCATTCAGACTTCAGACGAGACAGAAACGACTGCAGGGCTTTTTTTATTTCCTGTATCAGACGAGCTGCGTTGTTTTTGGACTGGGATGTTTAGGCATTAATCTCATTAACAGTGTCGTTTGCCAGGAATTTTTAAGATGTTGTGACAAGCCCTTAAAGTTAAAAACGATGCCAGTTTTTTTAAATCTTTTTTTGGGGGAAGAATTAGACTGGATTATTTGAATTCTGTATTCTCAGGATGTCAAATAGAAAAAGTGAAAAGCATTCAGGCGAAAGGCAGCAGAAATGTTACAGTTTTCCTTGTAAACCTTGTGTAAACACAGTGTTAAATGGGTTTAAAAGCATCTTTTCTTTCTGTCCTTATTCAACTTCAAAGAGCTGCTTTTGTGAATTTGTAAAGAACTCATCTGACGACTCATCTTCTGAGTAAACAAGTGTTTTGTCAGGAAACAGGATGTGGATGTAATTAAAGCTCCAACCACAACACAAATATTGTCTGTCTCGAGTTTAATTCTCCTCTCTATGAACACACAGATGGTTTTCTCAGCTGTTAAGAGAAACCATCTCTTTTTTCGGACAGCATTTTCTGCAGATATRATTAATTAATCATGAATCAGGTGTGTTGTGACACTTACTGTCAGGACTCCCCACGCCCTCTCAGACAGGTGTAGCTCTGGAACACGAGCAGGAAATGCCTGTTTCTGCTGGTAATGTTGCTCCAGAACGACTTGGCGATGCGAAACATTGAGGTTAAGCGAGGTCTGAAGGCAGGCGCTGGCTTGTTATTCAAATGTCCGGCGAAGAGGTGGAGGCTGTTTACAGTGAAGTRAAAAACAACAACAAAGTCAGGTCGAGACTCTGGGTTCTGCAGTGAACACCTTCATGAATCCGACCTCCGTGACTTCACATTCCTCAGGTCCTCTGAAGGCCGCCGAGCAGCTTTTTGATCCTTTGGCACAAAGAAGCCTTTCAAACTAAAAAAAAAAAAAAAGCTCAGATCTTTTATGAAAAGTGAATATTCTKCTCAGTTTGTAACAGTGACAAAGCAAAACTTCACGCCAGCTGTGTTCTTGTCCGTACAGGATGTGATTGTGTTCACCACTTAACATTGGGATCGGCTACTTTTGTGTCCTAAATCCAAAATTGCAGAGAGGATTATTGTAATATAAACTCTAATACAGACTGATGCGAGGTTTAAGTTTGTCTCATGACACAAAAAGAGTATTTACACAAACAGTGATTCTCAAACATGGGATTTAAGAAACTCCTTGAAGGAATGCATATYGTCTTTTTATTTTCCAGTTGTTTAAAATACGTCACATAACCCTAGAGCCAGTCTGTGCTGCCAGGAACCTGCACGACCAGGAACCCCTTCCTCACCTGCTGCCTGGCGTGCAGTGCACCCAACCCTGATGAGAAGCTGATGGGTACAGGACGGCCAGAAGAACCGCAGCTTTGGTGATTGCAGATGCAAAAACACRKGCATGGGAGGACTTTGGTGAGGTCATGAAGGAGGTTCTGGTAAACTGTTGGGTGACTCAGAAAAAGAAAGCGTTCCCTGTCCCAGGTTGTGCTGGATTCTGGTGRGGAACTGCTGACCAGGACTGAGGATATCRTGGGGCGGTGGAAGGAACACTTTGAGGATCTTCTGAATCCACCCTCCAAGTCCACCTTTGAGGAGGCAGASTCTGAAGACTTGAGGGAAGACAAGTCCATTACCATGGCAGAGGTCACCGAGGCAGTCAAAAAGCTCCTTGGTGGCAAGAAGCCAGAGAGATTCACCCCGAGATGCTGAAGGCTCTGGATGTTGTGGGGCTGTCATGGTTGACACGTCTCTTCAACATCGCACAGAGGACTGGGACAACTCCTGTGGAGTGGCAGACTGGGAGTTGTGGTTCCCATTTAAAAAAAAAGGGGGACCGGAGAGTGTGTTCTAATCATCGTGGGATCACACTTCTCGCCCTTCCTGGGAAAGTTTACTCCAGGGTGTTGGAAGGAAGGCTCCAATCGATTGTTGAACCGCAGATTCAGGAGGAGCAGTGTGGCTTTTGTCCTGGATGTGGAACAGTGGACCAGATCTTTACCGTTGCAGAGTTGGTAAGGGGGTCATGGGAGTTTGCCTCTCCAGTCTACATACTGTATCTTTTGTAGACTTGGAGAAGGCTTATGACCGTGTTCCTTGAGGTTTTCTGTGGGGGGTGCTGCAGGAGTATGTAGGGTCTGGGTTGCTACTAAAAGCGATCCAGTCCCTGTAGAASCAAAGCAGGAGCWGTGTTCACATTCTTGGCACAAAGTCGAGTTTGTTCTCAGGGTTGGTCTCTACCARGGCTGTCCCTTGTCTCTGATCCTGTTTGTAGTGTTTATGGACAGAATCTCAAGGCACAGTTGTGGAGAGGAGGGGGTCTGGTTTGGGGACCACAGAGTCTCATCTCTGCTGAATGCAGATGATGCGGTTCTGTTGGTGTCGTCAGACCAAGACCTTCAGCATGCACTGGGGTGGTATGAGTGTGAAGCGGTTGGGATGAAGGTCAGTTCCTCTAAGTCTGAGACCATGGTCTCAGACTTAGAGGAACTCTGGTCCATTGGTCCATCCCAGGAAGAGGAATGGATTGAAGGTTGCTGGAYTGAATCCCAGCCCAGGACCTTTCTGGGTAGAGTTTTCATGTTCTCTCCATGTGTGYGTGGTTCTTCTCCAGTTTTCCTCCCACAGACCAAAGACATGAGAGTCAGGATGATAATTGGTAATTGTCCCTAGTGTTTGTCTTGTTTGTCGCTAGGTGTCCCTGTGATGGACTGGAGACTAGTCCAGGATGTCCCTGCCCTTTGCACAGTGACTGCTGGGCATGGACACCAGTGACCCTGACAGGAAGAAGTGGGTTAGGGTGGATGGATGTTTCAGAGGAACTCTAAAGCTGACTGAGAACCAATGAAGGGTCCAACTGTTCAAAAGTACGTCTGTGATAATCTTTTTAATGATAATATAACCAAAGCTTTTAATCGCTCAGACATGAGCCGCAGAGAATCCCATCGCTGGCTCAGAAAGTGTCCGATCCAGAATGACCACATTTCCAGTCTCACTCTACGTTTCGTGTCCATCAATCAAAAACCGCCACGCCTCAGAATCCAACGCCGGTCCTCAGAGTACAGACAGACAATTAGATGGGAAACTACCAGCTGCACGCCATTCCTAACATTTCAGTTTACATTCTGAAGACAAAGAGGCCAAACAACTGAAACATGCCTTGAAAATTATTTTCACTTAAAGGAGGGAAAGCAAAGGGAACAGATCACGTAGGTTTGAARAATGCAGGGTGGCTCCTCCTGACAGCCTGGGAACAAGACTCTGAAAATCATTAGATGACCGGACTGTGGTTCTTCTGATGAGCAATGGAAAATATCAGAACCAAACTACAACTTTCAGCTTCAGAGAAGTTAACTTGATGAAAACTCACAACTCAAAACAGTTTGCCTTTAATCTGTCACACAAGGCCCCAAAAAGATTATCGTCGTCACGTCTGTCTGGGATTCTGAGCGTTACCTCGAGGTTATTTAACACGTCTCCCATAAAACTATTACTGCAGCCGTGCCAAGTCCTTGTCATCGAGCGTTAAAAAGGGAAGGGCACATCACTTAAAACATGTTAGCACACTGAGAAGTAATTGTGTCACCACTTCATCACTCACGACGAACAAATCAATAGTTTTCCAACCCAGATGTTCACAAAAACACAAACATATAATAAATAAGAGAATATTTTGAAAATAAACCAGAATTCAAAAATTTGCTCAAATGCTGAGTTGGCTACCGATTCGCTGTTTGTAGTTTTCCTTTTGCATCTATCAAGTATTAGAAAACATTTAGCAACTTTTGTTTTCTATCCACTATTTTAAAGTGTATGGATTTTGTTTGACTTTACTACTTTATGGCTCTTTACGTTAAAGATCTGTTACATTACAGWTCAGATACTTTACATGTCCGTTACTTTAAAGCTCTGTTATGGTACATATCTGTTACTTTATGTTTTTGTCGTTACAGATTTATTACTTTACATCTCTGTTACAGTACATATCTGTTATTTTACAGCTCTGTTATGTTACTACTTTGTTAAGGTTACAACTCTGTTACTATAGAGCTCTGTTACCTTACAGCTCTTTTATTTTACATCTTTGTTACTTTACAGCTCTGTTACAATAGGCCTCTGTTATAACTCTGTTATTTTATGAGTATTTTACATTATGGCCCTGTTACATCTGCTGTGAGGCTTGATCCAGTTTTCAGTCATCTCAGCTACCTGTTATCTCTCAAAGAAGTCATTCTGCTGAAGTCCAACCCATCCACTGACAAAGTGTCCTGAACTTGGGGGAAATAGTCGAATTTGATCCACATGCAGACCAGTGATGTATGTAAACATCTGAATTAGAAAAGAGTTGGCATGTCTAGAACAAAAACCAGATGGTGTAAGGGGTGACATCATGAATGGAGCGACAGTGTTATCAGGCAGTTGCTGGAGTGCCTGTTTATCAAAGCAGTGAATGAAAGTCAACAGACCCAGAGGATCACCAGCACTGGATGAAGTTTATTACTGGGTGGTTGGATTGTGAAATGATCCTGCATGTGTGGAATAATTTTGATATAAAAGAAATCATCAGCTCTTGTTTTGACTTGTWTGGGTTGAAACTCCTGCGACGGCTGAAATATGTTCTTCCTTCTCGTCTTACCTTGGAATCAGATCAGTTTTACTTCTCAAGAAAAAGTTGAATCGGGAAGTGAAGGAACTAAAAGCACTCAATTAAAAGCTGTCAATCACCTGTAACTAAAACTATGGGATGTGGCCATCAAACTGATCTCTGCTGATCTGCTTGAATTAATCCAGACAATCAGGAAACTAAAAGTCTGATTCTGTTTCTATAGTTTAGTGCTGAAGTCATGAAGTGATGTGATCACAAATACCACCTTTATCTAGATAAGACCTCTGTGTCCTAAACAAAAYGTTAGATAAACAGGAAGATGAAGAAAATCCACTCAAGTTAATCATGTTTCAATCTGCTGATTACGTCTCAGGTTAACAAAAACCCTGAGCTGAAAATAAACAAACATTTTTCTGCTKAAAGTCAAAGTTTGTTTGACGAGATAAATAAAAAAAAACAGGTTTGAGATGAAAAGAAAATGAAAACTGATCCAACTGTTGGCGTTAAGATCAAGACAAACATGAGTGGACAGGAAGGACCTGTCCTGTCCTAGAAATGGACAGGAAGGACAACTAACTGTCCTGCAGAAACCATAAAACTAAATAAAGAAAAAAACATCACATTCTGCAAACACTGCCTGAGAATACCAGTAGAACTGAGAGTGTAATCAGATTACTTACAGGAGCTGGATTACTTCACATGGTCTGTGTTGAAGTGAATCAAAAATAAAACCAGATTTCTTCAGACGGTTGGAGCTCATCAGGACGAGGAGCGATGTGGAACTGTGTCGGAGCTGAATGTGAACATCCTGAGAACAAACGGAGGAAACTCAGCCCTGATGCTGACCTCCAGGACTGTTTGACCAACAAAGATCAATCACAGAGCCGCCGGGGACAGGAAGGACAACCTGCAGGGACATCTGTCCAACTCCTGTCTCCACCCTCAGAACAAGAAGAAATCTGATGTCTTCAAACAACTTTTCTGTCAGACGAGTCTCGCTGTAAATCAGAAATGATTTGTCTCATATAAACAACACGGCAGAGGAAGTGTCATAGTTTGGATTTGTTTTGATTTGAACAGGGCTGGCTCTAGCCATTATGGTGTCCTAGGTGAGTTGAAGTGCACCCCTCCTCCCCCCGAACTATGTCCCACCCACCCCAGTTTAAACCCCTACAAACCAGTTTGACAATGTAAGGTACTATGGTAAACTTCGATTTATTTGCTTTCCCAGAAAGCAAATAAATAACAACATACATGACAACTTGTACAGATTGTCTGTAAGTTATAAGGATTTTACATCATTTTGCAGGTATACGGACGTGTAGGGTAATCTCATGGATTTTTTCAAAACCTCATTTTCAAATTTATCTAACATGTTAGAGCCTGTTGGATGATTCAAAAAAACAATGAATAACATTAAATAACCATATTCCAACCTCTTCTGCCGGTAGAATTAAGTTTTGAACTTTTTCCACTCTCCTTTCCTCCTGCATCACAGCAATCCTGGGTAGAGTGGTTTATTTTTCCTGTAATACTTCTTTATAGTTTTTTAAGACAAAGCTAATTGAAAGTGGCACTGAGCAGAGTTACAACCAGGGATTACAAATAATTACTTTTTCTTCTGCAGTTCGGCGCCCCCTCCAGCAGATGGCGCTCTAGGCGACCGCCTAGTTCGCCTATGCCAAGAGCCGGCTGTGAGCTAAAGAGATGAATTTTAACAGCTGAGAGTCATCCCCAAACATGGACTCTGAACACCAACTGACTGCATCACTTCTGTTYTTGTCTGTTAGCAAAATATTTCATAAACCACTGATGAAGCTTTCAATAAATATTAGCTGAGCTTTTAGAGTTAATCTGATTGAAGATGGCCGCCACAGCCAACACACAAACAGCTGTATGTCAGTCGGTTTGACAGTTTGTTGTGGTAGTAGCTGAGAGTCATCCTCAACACGGACTCTGAGCGTTTAGTTGGAAGCTGTGCCAGGAGAGGCGGGACATCAGTCCTGCAGGGATGCTGAGCTCAGAGACATGATTCATGTTCCGGGGTAAAACCTGTTAAATGTAATTAAAGATGAAGTAAAGTCTAACTCCTCACACCTGGAGAGCCGTTACCTGTCATGCTGGAAATGACGCCCACACTCACCTGGACGCAGGAGACCCCGCCCCCTCCACGCACCTGGCTCAGGTGGCGGCTATAAAGTCCATCCTCCGGGTGTGCAGGGCCCACAGTGACTCCTCTCCTCCGCTCTCAGCAGAACCGAACCACCATGAGCATCGCGCGCTTCTCCACCTACTCCTTGTCCTCCGTGCCCAGCGCCAGGGCCACCCCGCGGGGCACCAGCGTCTACGGCGGCGCGGGCGGCCGCAACGTCCGGGTGTCGTACGCCTCCAACGGCCTGGGCTCCGGGTTYGACCTGGCCCAGGCTCTCGGCGGCGGCGGCGGGGGGGACAGCAGCATGTCGGTGTCCGGCAACGAGAAGGCCACCATGCAGAACCTGAACGACCGCCTGGCGACCTACCTGGACAAGGTGCGCTCCCTGGAGTCCGCCAACACCAAGCTGGAGCGTCAGATCCGGGAGTGGTACGACAAGCAGACCCCCACCGTGAGGGACTACAGCAAGTACCAGGCCATCATCGACGACCTGCGCAAAAAGGTCCAGAAAATACTAAATAAAAGTACCTTTATGACGTCACAGGGACCTTTATTATAACAGAACGCTGTAAAATAACATTTTTATGTTTTAACTTTTTATTTCTGCAGTTTTTATTGGTAAACTTCACTTTATTTGATGTTTATTCTGAAATTTATCAAATTGGCTTTTATTCTGAAAAGATTAGGGAAAGAAATCCTCCACAGCAGCATCACTCAGGTGTGAAGAAACCAGTGTTGTAGAAAGTACCTCAAAGTGATACTTGAGTAAAAGTACAAGTATCTTATCATAAAAATACTTTGGTAAAAGTTAAAGTCTTCTCTAAAAAATATTACTTAAATAAAAGTCTTAAAGTATCTGATATTTTTTGTACTTAAGTGTCAAAAGTAAATTTCTGACACAAAATCTACTTAAGTATTAAAAGTAAAAGTACTGAGTAAAAGTGAGCAGTTAGATTTTCCAAAATGACATTTATTGGGAGGTGACTTCTCCAAAAACTATATTTTCTAACAGCGTGCAGCTGTGATGGGTTGTGTACAAGCTAATAGTGTGTCAGAATGGTATATATTTATACTTCTCATCCAAACACAATTAAGTTCACTCTATAGGAGACACAGTTTATCAGGAGAGGATTTTTTAAGTAACAACTCAGAATAAAACAGGAGTAACAACTTTCTACTTCTTACCTTTTTAAAAATGTAGTGAGTAGAAAGTACAGATAATTGTGTAAAAATGTAATGAGTAAAAGTAAAAAGTACGCTGAAAAATAATTACTCAAGTAAAGTACAGATAACCAAAAWTTCTACTTAAGTACAGTAACAAAGTATTTGTACTTAGTTACTTTACAGCTCTGAAAAGAACTAAATTAAAAAATAAAAACATGAAGAGTGACACATAAAAGAATGAATGAAGAGCAGATTTATATTTTCAAACCAAACGGACCGACTGGTTTGGAAGAACCTGCTGACAGAACCTTCTGTTCTTCAGATCAGCGCCGCCACCACACAGAACACCACCCTGATGCTGCAGATCGACAACGCCCGGCTGGCAGGGGAGGACTTCAAACTCAAGTGAGTGGACCCGGTTCTGTCATGGCTTCCAGGTACCGACTGCGTCGGGACTCGAGGGCCCGCGGACCTTCAGCTTGGGGAAAAAAACCGGTCGAGCTGGTTCCAACCCGAGCGGGTCCAGTTCTTTTTATTTATGCTGGAAACTCCAGTTGAGCCAGAGGAACAGGCTGCAGAAATAAAGTTAGGTACTGATCTGATCGGACCCAACATCAGAACTCTAATGTCCCTCTGAGGCACGGCAGGTAGTGTCATGGTTTGGGCCTGTTTTTGAGGAAAAAGCAGTTGGATTTAACTGACATCAAATTAGAAGGTTTTTATTCACGTTTATAAAAAAACGTCCTCGCAGGTTTGAGACGGAGCTGGCGGCTCGCATGGCGGTGGAGGGGGACATCGCCGGGCTGCGCCGGCTTCTGGACGACCTGACGATGACCCGGTCCGACCTGGAGATGCAGGTCGAGGGCCTGAAAGAGGAGCTGGTCTTCATGAGGAAGAACCACGAAGAGGTGAGGAAAAGTAAAACGTCTGAGTTTCTTTAGCAGCTTTTTCCTTTACAGGTCACCGGGAGACACCTGGACAGTCTGGTCCAGTCCAGTCCAGTCCAGTCCAGTCCATGACAGGGACATGCAGAGACGCAGGGGTGTCACTAGGTTTTAAGGACAAGGGGGCTTAGCCCCCAGGAGATGCACAGAATTTTTGTCCAGCCCCCCTAAAATAGGCCCAGTGATGCCACTGCGCACACCTAGGGACAGTTTAGTATCTTCCTGGTGTGTGATGTACTCTGAAGGCAACTGRTACCTAAGTCGTGAGCACGGCTAACTAAAACGTTAGCTTCAATAATGCTAAACGTAAAGAAAAAGTAGCAGAATCTAATGCTAACAGCTAAAAGCTAATTGCTAACCCTTGTCTCCTTCTAGCTGAAGACTGGGGGATAYAAACCTGTTGATGTTAGCTTAGTTTTACCTACTTTAGCAGAAGCTAATTGTTCTGCTAACATTTACAAAAAATTAGTTCAGCTGTTAGCTGTTGGCTGATTAGCAAACCGTGCCCACCTTAACCTTACTTATTTACACAAGTACGACATACTTACTTAGTACTTGGTACCTGGTGTTTACTGGCTACATAATGAACTGTATTATAAATAACTCCAAAGATCAGTATACACAGAAAAGGGTTTTCCCTGTAGTATTTATGTAAATAAACTGTTTTTAAAGTCAGGATTTCTGTGAAAATGTCAAATATTAAAGCTGAACAAACAGCAGAGTCTCGTATCAACAACAAAAAAACATTAAGTATTTTCTTTTTCTAAGCCGCACAGAGGTCTGCCAAAAGTTGTAAGTCTTTTCTTGTACAAATAAGACTCTCCTGGCTCTGCGCCAACACGACGTGTACTTCAACGAAGGCGTCGCCACAAAACTCAAAACTCTGCCAAGAAACGCTGAGTCAGCCTAAACCACCTGACAGGAACATGTCTCCGGTGATTTATGAAGAATAAAGTATTTTTCTCAAACACACGGATCGCAGCTGGTTTACAGTGAGTCAGCATTAAAGCTGCTTTTTCTGCTCATATTGTACAATTTAATTTAACAACCTTTACTTGTTTTATATATATATATATATA